AATTTAATAATGCAAAATAAATGTTTTCCAGCATTTTATTACATTTTTCAATTAGATAATAAAACTTCACGTTTTCATTATTAATCAATCACTTTCAAATAAAGAGAATTTTATCAGGCTAGAAAAAAAACACAGCATAAAAGCTAAAATTCCATTTAATGGAAACAGTCATTCAGAATGTTCTACTGCAGGTGTTCCCAACTTTTTTATGCTGAGGACTGGCAAACCATGGACTGGAAGTGACCACAGACAGGCAAACTACAGACCAGCAGTCACCAGCATACTGTGGGCAGACAGCCAACCCCTTTTTATACTCAGTATGAAAAAGGGGTGGCTGCCAGTTTGCCGTATGCCAGTCACCTCCAGTCTGCAGTTTTCTGGTCCGTGGTCACTTCTGGTCCAGAAGCCAAGCCTCTTGCAGACCAGCAGCCAACCCTTTGCAGCCCAATACCAGGCGATGGTCCAGGGGTTGGGAATCCCTGCTCTACTGAGTAAACTTTTCATTCCTTCAGAATGTTAAATCCCAAGAATACATTCTGCAGTCAAAACTAGGAAGTTGAAGGGACTACTTTTTTTAGTACACAATAAACTGGCTGATGAAAAAGCCATCCATTGCTTCTGAAAGCATAAAATTTTTAACTGGGGGAGGGGACCCTGAAAAACAAAAACACCAAGTTGGATTATTTCTGAATTTTGTCCCCCATGTTCTGAAGTGCCCTAGTTGCTTCTGATACGAGACATCGGAGACACATTAGATAATGATTATATTTCCCAGAGTCTTTCATTCCAAAAGAAACATAACTGGGACACTTGTGTCCATGATTTATGACAGCAGATCTGATGGGTTTACGAGCATGGTAATGATTACATCTCAGGCTATGGACAAAATGTGCAAAGTTTCAAACAACTGAAAAATGTCTAAGTGGCATCTACAAAATGTGTGTGTGTGTGTGTGTGTGTGTGTGTGTGTGTGTGTGTGTGTGTGTGTGTGCACGTGCACGCATGCACACACAAGCGCATGTGTATAAATACACACAACCAAAACACATATATGCATTTGTTATTAATAAGAACATTTTAATTTTACTTTTAAAATTTATTTAAATTTATTTAAATTGACAAAGAAATTATATATATAATTTCTAAAAGTATAGTTCCCCAATGTACTGCTTTCTCTGGCACCTTATTATTGCATTATTATATAACAGTTCAAACCCTGCTGGTGTGGTTTCTTATCTTGCAGAGTGGAAGGAAGAATTGAATGACACTTCTGGTTCTCCACTGGTGCTCATGCACCAGGGATCCATAGTAGTATATTCTGTAACTCAAAAAATTGTTGAAATATACCATACATTACAACGCCTAACTAAAAGACAAAAAAGGTAAAAAGACTGGGAACTTATGAAATAACCAATATTTATAATGCAGAATACTTGCCACAAAACAAAAAGAGCTTTGAATTCCACAATGCTCTATGCCAGGAAACTGACATCGCCTTTCTGGTGCCATAACAATTTTTATGGAAGCACAAAATGAAAACAAATAGACACCTATGCCCTTTGCCACGCCACAAATGCCTTATCTTGTAGCTGTGACAGAAGGTAGTAAATAACTTGTGCCTCTTTATTTGTGGGTGGGGTCTGTCTATTTGCACAAGAAGACCTGGAGCTGCTCACACTCAGCCACCCCAGGTAACAACTCCCAGGCCTTGAGGGGCCTTGTCTCTGCATGCTCCAGGAATTCATGAAGGATTGGGTCCTCCAACCTATAAGACTGGCTTCCCAGTTTTTCATACTTACAGAGATATTCCCCTAGGAATCTCCAGGGCACGTCTCTGAAACCCCACCTGGCAACCGGACCTGTCCACTTGTTTCCTGGGGATGCATCTCTGTAAGTGGAACATGTCACCCATTGTCCCATATGAACAATGAAGGGACAAAAGGCAATGTGTTTTGCCAAATAAAGCAGATCAGCTGTGTTGGGCTTCATTTGACAATGTCTGTGATGCTGTTACAGCACAAGTGAGTCAGGGAAGGTACAATTAAACCCTAAACTGAGCTACCAAGGTTCCAGTGTGGTGCCTTATTTTCTACTCCATGGAAAATTAAAGACCAGATTAGCAAAGCTGGAAATAAAAAGGGCCAACTATACATGTACTCAGGGGAGAGGGGAGAGCAGGGGCTTTAATTAGTGTAGTTCCTGGACAGCCACTCTAATTAAAACAACTCACTGTCATGTATATTAAGCCCCAGTGCATTTTAAAATGGCTGCAGTACACTTTATCTAAAGCTCATTTGATGTGGTTTAAAGCACCATCACTGCTATTTTAAAATGTGTGGGGGCTTAATACATGGGATGGTGAGGTGATGCTGGAGTGTTCCAATTAGAACGTGGAGCAGACTCAATTAACTGAGCTTGCTCCAAAGCATTCTAATTACGAGCATATTTATAGGCAGCCAAAAACCTCTGCAGTAAGAGTAAGAGGCAACCAGAACATTTTTATTTCTTTTGATCTATTATGTCTTGTATATACAGTACATCAGCCATGCAAAAGGTACCTCCATTTAGCTTGTACTTTGTCATCCTCAATGTGTTAAATAATATCTTTTAAAAGTAAAGAGAAAAAGAGAAAGAGTGAGCATGCGTATGCACAAGAGAGGTGCATAGTGCCTAACTTTCTACACTATGAATGGAAAGCATACACATGAACTATAGGGAAATACTTAGGTTTAAACTCTGAAAAAGTATAATGACTGTTTATAGAATTACTTTTGGTGTGACAAAAATATCTTTAGGAACATTCTAATGAAAAAAATATATTTCATGTGCTTTGAACCACCTTGCTTTTAGTGGAGGTGAAAGATGTATCCTTCTGTAGGCCAAATTTGACTCAAAAATATTTCACTTGGTTTTTGTAAGTGTTTTAATTTATAATTTCTGAAAAGACTAATATTAAATGAGCTGTCTAAGAGTGTAACTTCTATATCTTCTACTGAAATGTAATTATCTTATCTAATCCAAGGAGTACTGTATGTGAAGGGCCATATGCAATGCCCACAAAGTCAATGAAAATATTTCTATTATGCCTTAGAAGAGACCCTTAATAAGGCATAAATGCATATTTTCTTTCCATTCAGTAATTCTCTTTGATGTAATTCATCCTGTTTCTTGTTTTGGCATAATCCCACTGTTTTTTGTGCACCCCCCCACCCCATCACACTATGAGTATGACTACCTTGACTGGCTATTTCAATCCACCTACGCTAATTTCTATACTGAAAACTCTCATGTTTGCTACTCATTGGTATGGTCTCCCTCATTCTAAATGAAACAGAAAAAGTCAAAAGGGAAAGACTGAAGGAGAATTGGAACTGGAGACCAGAGGAGAGCCACACGCATGATCAGAGGGCAGGAAAATGGGCCTTATGATGAGAGGCTGAGAACTATGGGACTCTCCAGCCTGGAAAAGTGCAGGTTCAGGGGGACCTGGTGGCTGCCTATAAGTATATAAGGGGTCTACATCAGGACCTGGGAGAACACCTGTTCACCACAATGGCCCATGGGATGACAAGGTGAAATGGTCACAAACTCCTCCAAGACCATTTCAGGTTGGACATAAGGAAGAACTTCTTTACTATCCGAGTCCCCAAGGGCTGGAACAGACTGTCGCCAGAGGTGGTGCAAGCACCTACTCTGGACTCCTTTAACAGACATTTGGATGTTTTATCTTGCTGTGATCCTGTGACCCCAGCTGACTTCCTGCCCCTGGAGTGGGGGGCTGGACTTGATGATCTTCCGAGGTCCCTTCCAGCCCTAATGTCTATTAAATCTATGATTCTAAAACCACTAAAAAAGGAATTACTTTAAAAATTGGTTTAATTCCTCCTGTGGTTCTGTCCTGGTTCATAATGAAACCAATGGCAGTTTTATTGTTGTTTGCTGCAAACGAAACTGTTCTCTCTCTAATTTCTCTCTGCCTTTTTACACTCTTCTTCAGAACAACTCTTAGGGCCAGAGTAACTGGCATATATTTTTTTTTGTTCATAATTAGGGAATCTTACCCACTCAATTCAGTTTGAAAATCAAACACTGCAGAAACAGTACAGGCATGGTAGCAAAAGATCATTTCTGATCTACATGAAAAAGCTGGGGGTGAGAGATATGAGAGAGAAGAATAGAAATAGTAATGTAATAGTAATAATAATAATAATAACAGCTTTCAGAAGTATCCCTTCATTATGTATGATTTATTGAGGCACCAGCTTGAACAACTTTATTCTTGATACAGTCAAAGAAAGATGTGACAGATCAGTGCATCTAAAACTTAGGCTACACGTGTCTTAAGACAGGAACCAAGAAACCGAGTTACCTAAAGTAGTACTTTTTGAAAGATTAGACCCATTTTGGGATGATTTACCTTTCATCGGTTTGACTACATTTTTTCTTTTCTATATTTTAAAATGTAAAAATTGCATAATATAGTGTTATTACTTTCAATAAGAAGTGTCCTCCAGTTCTGAGAGAAGCCTATTAATCTTTTTTTCTATATTAGTTTTCTACTTGCAAAAAAGACTTAATGAAACAATATGTGTTTAGACTTTTAGTGTCTAATCATTCAGAATCAAACATAAGAAACTTCTTTACCTTGTCACCTTCAGAGAAAGTTATTCCATCGATGGCTCTTTTCCAAGTAATTTCTGGAATGGGTTCTCCTTCTGCCTCACAAATGAGTGTTGTTTGACCATTCTCAAATGTGGTTTCATTTTTAAGTTGTATTATCTGAGGCTGTACTGTTAAAAATATAAATTAGATTACTAATTTTGCATAAACAATCCTATGCCCACCTATCCCAAAATATCTGTTTTTTAAAAAAAGCTAATTTGGGATTAATCGACAGCACTATTTATAATCCATGGAATAAATACTGATAAAAAGACCAAAGCATGGGATTTATTTTTCTACATTCAATAGGTTTAACTTTAATGTGTATGTTCAACAAATTAAAGGCACTGCCTATGCATTTCACATGTATAAGACTGGATAAAAAAGCATGCACAGCATTGGAAGTATGAACCAGGACGTTTCTTTTTCTCATTCTATTTCTCCATTCCTCATCACTTGACAACAGAGTGATACATTTTATTGCATGCTCTCATTTTCCCTTCTGGATAGAATGTGAGCTTCAAAGGGGTAGGGTACAGTGCCCCTGGCCCAGCCAAGCTTCTAGCTTGATGATGCTTACACTCTTCTACTACAAGATATGGGCTTGAATCCCTTCATTCCTAGATACCATTTCCTGAGAAGGGTTTACTACAAGGGTAGTACATGAATTCACAGATGTCACTAAGACTAGGAGGCCTTGGGCCTAGTGTCGGCTTGGACTTGGTGCACCGGGTTAGGCTCAGTGTGCAGCACCAGAACAGGCACGGCGGACCTCTTCATGGTCCCTTACCAGCATGCAGGGCCGACAGCATTCTTGAGGACAAGCTCAGCTCCCTACATGCTGCGGTGCAGTTTCTACAATAAATATTTATTTCTGCCTCTCAGAAATTAGGTGAAGCTTATATACAGGGATGTACTCTATACAAGAAAACAGGATAATGATGGACAAGCATCTTATTTCCATTCTCTCCCTTCTTTAATCTATATTATCATTATGTTAAGTCTACCTCCTGGGAGACATCGCAATAAAGTAACTGCCTCAAATCAATTTGTTCTATTAGGTAGACTGGTTTAATATAATAAGTATATCATTTGTACAATAAGGAAAAGTACATTTTTCACATCTTCTTACTAGTTAAAACTCTCAGGTTGGCACCATCTTCCAAAAAAAAAAACCCAAAACAAAACAAAAAAACCCCAAAGCTCTTATGCAAATGTTAGCATGAAAAAGGAGTTAGTTTCATACATGACTTAGCTATACTTTGCTATACTTTGAATACTTTCTAAATTGGTATTTGCTTCTTCAAATACCAATTTAGCAGAGATCAATAAAAGAAATAAGTTAGTGGAGATTGATAAAAGTATTACATACATTTGGCATAAAAAAACCAGACAAATAAATATAGTTTACACATATATACAACTAGAAAGCTTTTATACTTATTTTGGAAGATATTCTGTACCACTTACCTGAAATCACTGTAATTCCATGTGCTTCAAATCATGTGTTTCATAAATTTATAAAAAAACAGGGTTTAAAGGGACCTTGAAAAGTCATTTTGTTCATCCCCATGTCCTATGTCAGGATTTGCTGATCCCCAAGTCAGAAGTTTAAAAAATGTGGCCCACAGAGCCACTCTAGCCAACCTGCTAGACTACCACAAAGCCACTAGAAGTTGTTGCATGGGTGTGGCTGGGATGTGTAGCCTGCCAAAGAATCTGGGGCTCTTTAGCCCCAATGGGCATAGCAGTTGGTAGCAGAAGATAGAGAAAAGGCTGATGCAGTCCTAGTCACCCTCTGGCCATTTTACCTGTCACCACACAGTGGCATATGATGGCAGTATTTGCAGTTCTGGCATAAGGCACATGGCAGAGCTGAAAATGTTGCTGCCACAGCCACTATTTCCTTGTGCCCTTGACCTAAACCATTTATAAGAAATGTTTTTTCTAACCTATTCTTATCTTGTTTTCTAGGCATATAGCCATTTTTGTTACTGTTTTCTGGACCCTCCATTTGGTCCACAACCTTTTCTAAGTTTGTTACCCAAAAGTGTTGTGTCCTAACTGAGGCTATGGTTGGGTGACG